TCAGCAGTCCAGCAGATAGCTGTGTCTCCTGTTATGCTGCAATCTCATTTTATAGATCAATGCTGCCAAGGCCCACTTCTTCAGTACTTGTGTCTCATATCTATATTGTCTTGTAACATGAATTTGATAAGGTTTCTTTGTGATTTTGCTTACCATTGCCCCTTTTTGATGTATATGTGGTCTCAAGTACAGATGAGGAACTGGAAGTTTGTGTGCTTTAGAAGTATAGACTGAGTTTTGAACTACTCTGCACCAAAATGTCTAATTTGTTAATAAAAACTGAAGCATATCTAGAGCAAAGGAAACTGGCTTTCTCAGAAAAAGTCATTTTGGCTTTTCTACATAAGAGAAGATCTTAAGAAGTTATTGCTGAAGATGTTGTTGTGCTTTACTAACAGACCTGCAATAGTTTCCTCCTACATAGTTCTAAACTGTAATTAGCAACGTAGCCCAGTCTAGTACAGAATTAACTGAGATATCTGTGAGTTATGTGATAGAGCAGTCCCCTTTTGTGTAGTGCAAACAACAGCTTTTGAAATCATGCTTAGCATGGTTAAATATTCATTCTTTGAACACTGTTTTCACAGGAGATCTGAATGAACTAGCAGAAGTAATTCATCATCATATCCCAGAAGCAAAATTAATTGAAAGCATTGGTCAGGAACTCATTTACCTTTTGCCCAATAAACATTTTAAACAGCGATCTTATGCCAGTCTCTTCAGAGAACTGGAGGAAACATTGGATGACCTGGGACTCAGCAGTTTTGGAGTTTCAGATACACCACTTGAAGAGGTAACAGACATTAAAATACCTGCTGATCTTACCATCAGTCCCCAAAATGTTTTCTGAGACAATTCCTGTTCTTAAACATGTAATCTTACTAATTCCTAATATTCTCTTCAAAACCTAGTCACATATGCCGTGGCACACTCAGAAAGTCTTTGAGATGGGTGTAGAAAAAGGATCCAAGCCTTACTTCACGTTAGCCTTGTGGTGTGTGACTCGTTACACTGAAATCTGTCTGTCTGTATCTTAGTCTGTTCCTTTCTTTATTTTCTGAAATATTTCATAAGAGACCTCTGATTGTGTAATAAGCAGTAGTACTGAAAAGGTATCTAAATTTTTTTCTGTTACATTAAAGGGTGATGTATAGTGTTCCAGCGGTCAGGTTATTGTACCTTTTCTATTCCTAACCAGGAGATGTGTTTGTCTATGGCAGGTTTTCCTAAAGGTCACTGCAGAAGCTGATCCTGGAATGCAAAAAGCAGGTATAGATCCATGAATTAGTATGTAATAAACTTTTCTTGAGACTGTTCTGTATTCTGAATGCCAAGTAAAGAGGAGCCTCAGAACTTTCAGCCTTTGTATGGTAGTCTTGCCAAAATAAATTTGGTCAGCAAATATCTGGTTTTGGGGTCTGACATGATATCTGAGAAACAAGATGAAGTCAGCAGAAAGACTTTTATTTAGATTGGATGAGGTTCTTAGCTATGTAGATAAAAGTGGAGTGTCAATCCCCCAGATGTCAATGGTTTTAATAGTTTTTATAAAAAGTACTTTGCTGACCATTAGTCCATAAACTTACATACATGATTAACTTGTTCATCCTGCTGAGTAAGAGAAGTGTTAACCTATATGATGCCACTAGATACAGCCACAGTGCAACAGTTGTAATTAAAGCAATCTAGTGATGTGGTATATACAGTTGGTAAAATCTGGAGCTCATTAAAATATTTGTGCTACCTTCACATATGCAGCATGAAGTATCTTCTCTGCTCCTTTTCATCTTAACCTAGGAGACACTCAAGAAAATGGTTCTACGCTTGGCAAAATTTCTACTGAGAACAAACCAGCTGAACAAACCCCACTGAAAACTAATGACATTTCTCGAATGCCAGTAGGTATAGCAGGAGATCAAAATGAAGGCAAAGGGTCCCGACAGTATAAAGGTTTTCAGCTCATACATCAACAAATCAAAGCACTGCTCATCAAACGGTTGCACCATGCCTCCCGCAGCCACAAGGACTTCCTAGCCCAGGTATTGACTGACTTTTGCTACTCTTGACTCTTTCACACAACATTCTCAATGCTGTCTTTCCCAGCAATGTCTCTATGCAAAGCAACAGAGGTGCTGCGAATGGGTAACAATGTTCCTAACTGTTCTAATTGATTCCGACTCTTCTGCCTCTTATCCTGTTTCTTTCTGCCTAGAGTCTATCACCCACACCGAGTTCATGATTCAATCCCTACTGACCCAGCATTTTATTTTTAACGTAATACAGTTCTGTGACAACCAGAATCTGAACTGATAGCATTGGAAATTAAATTGTTGCTGTTCAGGAGCTGAACCCGATCTGATCTATATGCTCCTGCTGTGTCTCTCCTTTGTTTATATATATTATGAAGTATGTACAGTGTCACTCTGCAACATATATATAATAAGCTAGTGTGATGTTCTCATGTTCCCTGCAGATTGTTCTCCCTGCTAGTTTTGTGTTCCTGTCTTTAGTACTGACAGTCATTATTCCTCCATTTGGAGAATATCCTGCCTTAACCTTACACCCTTGGATCTATGGACAACAGTTTACTTTCTTCAGGTAAGAGGAATCACTGGGTAAAAGTACATCTGTCATGTGTGCATCCTTTTCTCCCTAGTGTTTAGGATCATGAGGCCTTGTCTTACTGGACTTTTCTCACTCTATGTGGTAGAAAAAAGGATTAAGTCCACTGGAATCAGCAGATTTCAAATAGCATGAAATTGGTGCAAGTAGAAAATAGAGCTGCTAGTATGTCTAGCCAACAGTCCTTCAGATATCTTGCTATCTTTGGTACTCTCCTCTTCCTACCTGAATTCATTACCTCAACACTTAAAAAGTTACATATCCTGCCTAAGAGGAGATCCAGGACAGTAAGAAATCTGACTGTTTCTGATATGCCATAGAACTATTCCTATATTCATAATCTTAGAGCACAATGAGATTCAAGCCTATCCGCTGAACTGTGGTAGATTTATTTATAGTTAGTACAGCATTTGGGCAAAGTTGTGAAAACAAGATGAAAGCAGAGACTCTTAGGTTTTATTAATGCTGCTGCTTAGAAGTTTCTCCCCACACAGTATCCTTTGGCTGGGGCTGATTTTTTTTTTTTTTTTTTTTTTTTTTTTTTATTTTTTTTTTTTTTTTTTTTTGTCTACTAGTACTTTGTCTCCTTTCATTCTTCATAGAAGCTTCAGTTCTGTTCTTTCCAGGTCACTGCACAATTCCTCTGTGCTCTCCCGAATACTTGCTTCACCTTCATTTCCACATATTCCAGAGCTGAACTTGCACCAAGTCAAAACATGTGCAATTCAGAGGAGATTTATAAACAATGTTTTAAGTCCTAGATGGCAACTAGCAGAAAGCAGGAAAATTGAAGGCAATAATTTTGAAGCATTTTCCTTGAGTTTCATACTGAAAATTCACATGAAACTTTAATTTAATTTACATGTGGTAGTGTGTGGAGCAGAGTTTGACATTCGTACTTGTATAACACTTGGCACTAGCAATATCCTGTAGTCTAATGTTATTAGGTTGTTAGTTGCAGACACTTCACTATTAGCATCATTGTCTCTTTGGCCTCAGCAAATGAAAATGCAAAATATGTTTTTCATCTTCTGATTACTGAGTGCGACAGGGCTGAGAGTATAGAAATGTGGATTCAAGCCTTTTTGAATAATATTCCTATAGGACTATGTATGTCAGAAGTCATGCTTTAATATTAGGAGAAAAGAACCATTGCTTTAGCCTGTTAACTATCTTGGAAGGTTCTGGGGTTTTGCATAAATAAATAAAGTAATGGAATTATCAGCATTTGGAGGGGGGCAGTTGGTTCTTGGTTCTGCCATATGGCTGTCTTCACCAGTTGCTATGTGTATTCCAGTAGAACAGTTAGGAAAAAAAATTTATAGCGAAAGTCCTATCTTATTCCCTTAGCAATGAACGTCCTGGCAGTGAGCAGACGGTCTCCCTCACTGATGCTTTTTTGAATAAACCGGGATTTGGAAATCGCTGCATGAAGAATCAGCCTCTTCCGTAAGTTGCTAGTTAATCTCTCTTGAACGAGATTCTAGCAGGGTATTACTAGTGGAACTTGAGTAGTGAAACAAGAATTAATTGGCTTGGCTTTTCACTAGAGGCAAGGCTTCAGACATATTGTTGGCAATAATATCTAATATTGGGTCAAAAGTAACAAACAAACAGTAAGACAATGATGCCACTGGATTAAGAAAGATTCACAGTGCTCAATGTGACTAGCTGGAAAGCAGCTCATGTAGCCTTTTATTGACAATTAAGCAACCTTGACATTTATGTCAGTAGGCCAGTGAGCTCAGACCCAAATCTTCACAGCTTCCCTGGCACTTTCCACGTGAGTCCCCTCAGGTTCCTCCTGTTCCCACCGGTGTGTTTGGAAGCAATAGCTTCAGCAATTGCTCAGACTGTGAAGTGGCAATAGGACAGTCTCTATGATTTGAAGCTATTCTCACTCTGAAGTGAGGGCAATGTTAGTAGAGCTCTTAGTTTAACATTTGTTGTCCTACCCACTTACTCTGCCTGTGAATCTTGCTTTGGAGGCGTTTGTCACTGGCTTGCTATGCTTTGCCATTTGTTCCTTTTCTCCTGCCTCTCTCCCAGTCGTGATATCCAGCAACTTGATTGTTCTGGCTGTCCTCTCTTCTCTCTTCCCCTTCCTCTCCTCTGCCTGGTACAGCCTCTGCCTGGTACAGCAAGACTGAAGAGGGAACTTTAAAAAATAAAGAGAGAAAAGATACTGCATGAGCAAGAAGAGGGTAGTTTCTTTGCAAAGATAGGTGTCCACTGCAGATTTCATGTGTACTAAAGGGTCAAACACAGTCCCCTTGTTCCTTCAGTGCAAGCTGAAGATGGTAAATTTGGCAGAGATGTGGGGGGAGATTATATTTATTCGTGTTTACCAAGTACTCTAAAATGTTCTCGTTATTCATAACTCATAGGATAAGGGCTGAGAGGAGAATGTCTGCTGAGAGCATTATGATTTTGTGGATTTGTGAGCTCTCATGAACTGTATCTCTGCACAGCTTAAAGAGTCTGTTCCTCTACACAGGAACTACCCATGCAATAATATGCCAACTGCCTGGAACACACCTGCTGTTCATCTGAACCTAAGCAGCCTCCTGCTGAGCCAAAAGTGGAGCCCTGAGAATCCATCACCTTCCTGCAAGTGCAGCACTCCTAAGAAACTCACTATGCTGCCAGAATGCCCTGGAGGCGCAGGAGGCCTCCCACCACCACAGGTTGTGTCCTTGTGCCATAAATCTTCATGGCAAGTGCTGGAAAACAGATTAGTGTCTAAGTACCTTGCCATGCTAATATACATGGAAGGAATTGAGTACATTTAAGGGAGCAGGAATTGCTGGAATTTGGAATTCAATTTCAGAGGTATTGGAAAATCTTGCACATTTTAATGAAATTTGATTACTGTTTTCATCCAAATTGCAAGCTTTTCATATAGAAGAAAATCAGGGAAAAAAATGGAAAAATTAATATTGAGTCAACCCCAAATAATTATGTTTTTACATGTCTTTTGGTTCAATTTCTAGAAAGAAAGTTCTAAGCAAGCAAAATGAATGTTTGTATGCATGTGCATGAAGATGAGTAATTTAATAACTACTGATGCTGTATGGAGAAGAGATGAGAGCTACATTGCCACCTGTTCCTATTGATGAATAATCTTAGTAGTGCCCTTTATAAAATGTGCTTGCTCTTTCGAAGAGCAAAGGAAAAGTATAGCCTGTTAGTGTTTACATTTTTAAATGTTTTTCTAACAAGTTAAAGAAAACAGAACTGCAGCCACTTTCAGAGTAATAGCTCACTAATTTAATGTCTCACCACGCACAACATTCAACTTTAATATTCCTGTTTGCCAGGATGCACACATTAGCCAAATGACTAAAATAATTCTAGTTTTAACACTAATGTCGCAAGCTTAGTCAATTTTTGAATCCAAATCCAAGTCCAAGTAGGATGCAAAATTAATTTTTTTTTTTGTCTCTGGGGATTCTAGTCCTCTGATGGGAAATGTGTTTATTATAATACTATCCTGATAATTTTGCAGGATATGATAATTTTATATAACTTGTCAAGAAGAAACAGTTCACATTTGAGTCTCCAGGGAAGCAACAGGATGTAAATAATTTTGAAGTATGTCTGAGCATAGACAGCTCAGTTAATGAAGGCACTATGAGGAAACTACCAGTCTTCCTGTGTATTATCTAGAATCAGCTAGACATCTGTAATCTAACTTCTGTGTCATCTGGTACTGCCTCTCTGTGGACAAATGTAGGAACTTCTGGAAAGTTCATTAGACTTACTTTCTATGTCGTTACTAGGTCGTTTCAGGTTCCAAGCTTTGCCCTCTGAAACTCCCCAGGAACTTTTTAAAGTATGTTCTACCTTGGGATAAACTCAGCAAGTTTGAGGTCTCGAATTTCACAGCGACCCTGTATTTGCAAAAGACTCACAAAGGTGTCATGTGGCACAATTTTCATTACAAAAAAAGGCAGTCATTTTCATTCAAAGTATCTAACGTGCTAGTGAAGGTGAAGTTTGCATATTAATTTTTACCTCAACTTGCAAAATCATAGAAAACTACCTTGTCTTCACTGAGACCTCAATTTATTTGAAAAGCTTCCTTCTTTCACAGTGAAGAAAAAGCTCTGAGCAACCCTGGCCTTTGTTGCAAGTAACTGGGGCCAAGTTTCAGAGTGAAGTGCAACTGTTTTGTGTCAGGCATTGCAAACTTTTATGATTTCATGATTTCTTCTGAAATGTTAGTAAAGTAAGGATGTTTGAGCTAGAAAGTGAATGACCCACTCTCGTTTCAGTAGTACTATGAACCTGAGCAATTCCTCTGAACAAAAGCTACTTTTGCTGTTTTCCTGACAAACACTTACTTAATAGCTTTACAGACTGTAAAGTTTACTATGATTGATTAGATTCTCTTTTCTTTCCAGAGAGTGCAGCACAGCACAGAAATTCTTCAAGATCTGACCCACAGAAATATTTCAGATTTTCTGGTGAAAACATATCCCACTTTGATAAAAGGGAGGTAGGGATGAATCTCTTTGTTTTTCACATGTGGTATTTTGTACCTGGCCATGAAATTTCCATTTGATAATAACATAGCACCTGATTTGCCACAGTATTGTGTAGACTTGAGCATCATGACCATATTCCTGATGTAAGAATAAGAGATGCTTATTTTAGGGGAGTTAAATTGTTTTAGTTACACCTATTCGTATAATCAGGTACTCCTTTATATAAGCAGGGCTAAGTTTCAGTGTTTCTCATGGTGAGAAAACTGGTGCCTCTGCACAGCATGGTGAACTGCCTTGCAGAGATACTAGCTTGCGTCCCTGAAGAACCATAGCCACATCAGCATGACCATCTGCCTGAGTTTATTATCACTTGCTTCCCAGAAGTGCTAAAGAGCCAAAGGACAACGTCATATAGATACAGCTGTCCTACTGACAGCTCCTCAGCTTGCCTGAGTGTCATGCATGGTAATTAGCTGTGCAGTGTCCATGGCCTATTATTTCTGATTCAGGCCTTGCTACCTTTTTGATTTCCAGCAGAGTTCTTGAAATCCCCATTGTATTAGCTACATGCTGACTGCCTTTGATTCCTCTTAGCACATGTCATAACTGCTTTAGATACCTCTTTTAAAAACAATTCATTATGGATTTAGTATAAAACCATTATATGCCACTTTAGAAATCTTGCTTATCTCTTCATGAACTGGAGATGAATCATGTAGGAAAACAAAACAAAATGAAAAAAAAAAAAACCACTGCAAGGAACTCCAAAAGTCCCGACAACCCCACAGCTCTAAGTAATAGGTAGCAATTAAAAAATAAAGCAAATAAAAACAACAACAAAAAAAGCTGTCTTAGGGGAAACTGGAGATCTGCAAAGCGTAGGAATTCACCTTTAATTTCCACTTCAGCCTATCTATACCGCTGACTTTGGTTCAGTGCATTAAGAGACAGGATTTTCTTTGTCTGTTTCAGCTTGAAGAGCAAATACTGGGTCAATGAGCAAAGGTAAGAAACCAATTCACAGATTATGGTGGTAAATAAAGGAACAATGAATTTCTGTTTAACTGTGGAGCCTCACAATGTTTCTCTGAATGGACAAGGGGAATTGTGGCAGATAATATAGAACAAAGAGATGGCTTCAGTGGGAAATAGGTTGGGGGTCAGCACGATTTTATAAAGACAAGGGATTATATTTGTTTGGACTACCCCCACAAGGATGAAGGTCAGAGGCACACAATGGAACTGTCACAGTTTTATTATCTACAAGAGTCAGACTAATGGGATGCGAGTGATGGAAAGTTACAATACAATAGTGCACTACATTGTGATAGTGCTCTGATGCAGCTCTTTCGAAGTGCAGCAGAAAAATATGAACCCTGCAAAAAAAGGACCTAGGTGAGATGAAACCTAGACACCAGCCTATCAAATACAGAAGTTACAACCACAACTCCTCATCCCTGCTCTGAACATGTGCAGTAGTTATAAAACAGATTCCACTAGTGCTCCATGCTTATGTGGAGGCATCAGCTAACCCCTGTGTGATGTCTAAACTGCAGATACTAAGCTTAGAAAGATGACTGATTAGCCTGAAGAACATATTTAGTTTTTCATCAGCAGTAGGAATTCACTTTGAAGGTAGCAGCTGGATGACTGGCTTCCTTCACAAAGTATCTGCTTGTTCATGTGCAAACATTACTTTCTATGGGATTGGACTTTGGTTCATCTTGTGCAATATTATTTGTCATTATGGAGTATTGGCTGGCACCAGCATTGGTGAATACCTGCTCCTCTCAGGGCAACTGAAATTTTAGCTAAGGTCCTTGCTGTCCTCAGTTCTTCATGCTGTCCAAACAGTTATATGTCAATTATCTTAATTTAAAGGTTTTGCACTGCAGAAATAACTGTTTTCTCCAAATCTTTTATCTAAATAATAATTTTCTCAGGATCCTGGTGTGAACCCCTCAGAAACTGAAAGAACTTCTATTATTTGTAAGCCCTAATACAACTTGTTAGAAAAAGAGTGGAGATTGTTAAACATGAATTATATGATGTATAGAAATCAAACTTACATTAAGTGGAATTATAGTATTTCCATCACTGTACATAGTTTAGAGTCTGTGGTACAAGTGACTGATGATACTATTCTCTTTGTTAGATATGGAGGAATTTCTATAGGAGGAAAGCTCCCAGTCCTTCATGTTTCTGGAGTTCAAGTCGTCAATTTTTTAAGTGATCTTGGGCGAATGATGAATCTGACAGGAGTAAGCAAGATTTTTTTTTTTTTTTTGGTCCCCTTACTAAAGAATTGTTACAAAGCTAAAAACCTGCAGCACCAGATTGAACCCAGACAGCTGATCTTTAGCCTTTTCTTTCTTATTTTAGGGACAAACTTCACTAGCTGCTGCTAAAGAAATTTCTAATTTCCTTAAATACATGGAAACTGAAGATAATATTAAGGTATTTGCTGGAAGTAGTCTGCTAACTCACGGTCTTTCTTGACATAGACTTCAAATTGTGAGAATATTGCTAGTAGCATTCTCAGATGCAAGAAGAGCTGAAATACTATACCTAAGTAATATGGGATACAGTGTTAATGCAAACTTATTTCTAACATGAGACTTTTTTAACCATGTTCTTAATACTTCTTGCTGTCCTAAATACTTCAGAGTAGGATACATTCTGCTACATTTTAAAATGTGCTTCTATAAAATCCCTTGGCAATGGTTGTCCAGCCCTTTTAAAAGTATAGTATGCGAGCTCCGCCTGCTGGACTGTGCCGAGGAGCTATGAATCCCTGCTGCTGGATTCTTCCCTGGGGACAATGCCCACCAAAGTCGATAAAAGGCAGCCAAGTTTTCTCCTGCAGCTCAGAGTTATTATTGAAGGCTTCTTAAATGAAACTGTGCTTTCTGACTCTTTTAGGTGTGGTTTAACAATAAAGGCTGGCATGCTATGGTTAGTTTCCTTAATGTAGCCAATAACGCAATCCTTAGAGCTAACCTGCGGACTGGCCAAGACCCTGAGGAATATGGGATCACTGCTGTAAACCATCCTCTGAACCTTACTAAGGAGCAACTCTCTGAAGTCACTGTGTAAGTCTGCCTGTACTTTGCTGCTGCCTTCTACCCCTCCCTCTCCTGGCAGCTTACCACCTCCAGTGTACTCACACTCTGAGGAGAACTATTTCAGTTGACAGAACATGGAGGCCTTTCCCTGAAGTTTTATTCTAATCAAGAATTAGATATACTATCTACTCTTTTCTGTCTCATTGTATTCCAATAAGAGTTCATTCCCATCCCATGTAGGAGCTATGACATTAGTTATACATGATTACGTATTTCTGTTGATTCCCAAGCACAAAGATTCTGAAGTCTTTGTTCATGCTCCAAAGCCAATAGATCTACTTGTGAAATAACACAGAGATCGTAATCGAAAAAGGAATCAGAAATTGTCCTTAATTGACTACAGGTAGGCAGTAGTTGACAACCTCCATCTTGGTGCCAAGGAGAGCACACAGGCAGATTTTCAATGGCATGTAGTAGGGCTGGTGTATTCCAGAATCTAAAAGCCATAATTTCTTGAAAAAGACATCCCTAAGAAGACAGGACTTCCCATTCATGTCTCCTATTAAGTTCAGAATTCAGTGAAACTGAAAACTTCTGCCTTAGCACAGAGGTAAGATCTGCGCTTCATCTCGCTGTCTGCAACTTGCCTCTTTGAGTCCCTCTTTTCCCAGCTCCCAGAGCACTCCAACTATTGTGCCTTAATATCTAGTTTGAGACACACCATACAGGGAAGGCTGTCAAACTGAGATATATATATAGGAGCTGAACTCTTCCAGAGAATGAAGTCAAGTAAAAAATGCAGGAATGGTGCCCACCATCATCCATATTTGTTAGCTACAGTCCCCAACACAACTTGGGTAAATACACTAGCACATTTTGAAATTGGAAAAGTCTTCTACTTACAAAATAACCTTGCTACTCCTAGATCTTAAAATTTCCTCCAGATTCCCCAAATGCTAATATATTGTTGTGTTGCATCCATTCCATTCCATTGCTCACAGTCCCTTCCTGTGCTCTCTTTCAGGCTGACCACTTCAGTGGATGCTGTTGTTGCCATCTGTACAATTTTTGCCATGTCTTTTATACCAGCCAGTTTTGTTTTATACCTGATTCAAGAACGTGTAACAAAAGCCAAGCATCTACAGTTTGTCAGTGGTGTGAGCCCTGCGATCTACTGGCTAACTAACTTCGTGTGGGACATAGTGAGTAACTGCTGGTCCGATTTCATAGCCTGCAATTATTCCTGGGTTTGCATGAACTGGGGACTAATCGGTCAATCAAGTGAAGGTGATTCTGAGCATTGCAAAACATTAATTTCTTTAAGTGTTTCTCGGAGAGCAAGCTAAGGATCTGACTGCCTCACTGATTACAGATGTAGAAATTAAGTCAGCTGCACAACTCATTATTCAACTAATGAAGCTGAAATTGTTGTAACCTTAGGGTTTCCAGTCCTTACAACTGAATGTGTAATAAAGTACAAGGAGAAAGCCCAGTTGCCTCGTGGTAGTCACTCCTGCCCTCTAGAAGAACCATCATGTGTTTCAAGATATTCAAGAAATCTAAGTGGAGGAGACTGACAGGCTGCTGGAACAATAGCTGGAGGCTAGACAAAATACTCTAGGGTGTCTAAAATGGCATAGATGTATTTGTTTAGGTCACTGAATCATGTTCACTGTGTTGTTCAAAAAGGATTTAGACCACAGGCCCAGGCTTGCTTTGACAGGGCTCGACTACCCTCCCATTACTCCTCAGGCTGCTTTGTCACAAAGGAGCAGATTCTTTGCCTGGTTGAGGCACAGCAAGAGGCTTGTTTTCTATCCATGCCTTCTCAACAAAGAGAGTGGCCAAGGGCTTATGCAATAAGAAAAGCATGAATATAGAATTGAAAAAATTAAAAATAAAAAAAAAAAATTGAAATCATTGAAAAGCCCAAAACTCTTCAGTCTTTGGAAGCTGCTCTTTCAGGAGAAGGTAAAGCAAAGCATTGATTTAGTAAATGGAGGAAAAGAAGCAGGTTCTTGTTCCTGTCCCCTGCTGGTCACAGCAGCCTCCCAGCAGCTTCCTTGACAGGAATTCTGCTTGGCCGTGGCACTTGACAGCATGATGCAAAGGTACTAAGTGGTGTTAGCAGTTCTGTGAAATGTCACCTTCCATTCTGCATGGGGAGCTCTGTGCGTTGCAGTAGACTAGCGCTATCAATACTGAACAGAGAAATTGAGAACAGTGGCCAAGCATACTCACTTTAGCCTCATCCCAGGAAAGTGGCTCAAGTAACTAGCCTTTTCCCTCCTACACAGCCTTTGCATCACTAGAAACCACTTCCCTTGCATACCCACAGCCTCTTTCTGTGGGCAGCCTGCCAGCAGGACCATGAAATAATGGGCTCCCAAACCATAACCTAAGAAACAACAATATATGTTGTATTTTTGATGAACAGTCTGATAAAAGATGTCTCAGAAAAATGTCGAGTGCTGCCAGGGATCCATTGATCCAAAAGCTTGAGTGTGACTAGTGTAGCTCATAAATTCCAGTGTTCCTCAATGCAAAATCCTTTTGGAATAATATGTAGGATCTGGATATGTTTGCAGACCTTCTCAGGTCTTACACACTGATCTTCACCCTGTGATGTGGCAGGTGAATTATGCACTGAGTGCTGGAATAGTTGTGGTTATATTTGCTGGATTCAACAAGAAAGCATACACTTCTCCGACTAATCTCCCTGTGCTGGTCGCCTTGCTGCTACTGTATGGGTGAGTGTTCCAGGTTATTCCTGCATATGGGGCCCTGTATTTCACATGGAAATGATTTCATGTTATTGAGCTCAGTACTTAGTGAAATCCATCTTTAAAGAATAAAACTGAGTGGGTACAATGCAGGTTAGAACTGGATTCTGTCCCTGCTCCAGGATATTTACACACTCTGTCTGGCCACATGCTATAAAGGAGATATTTTTTTTGTCACTGCCTTACGTTTTTAAGCATTAAATGTGATCTTTACAGGAAAATACATTTGTTCGGTTTGCTGCTCTCCGATATGTATGTTGAGAAGGAATTTAGTGGTTGTTCATTTGCCTCATTGACATCCAATACTAAAATATCTTTCAGCTTTTAACTCAAGGGCAAAGAGTACTGAGTCTTCAACACTTTTTTTAGCTTCAAATGAGCATTTGTGTTGGCAAAATATCATTTTATAAGGCTGACTGAAATTCACTTTCTCTCATTTAATTAGTGAGCATATATTTTTATCCATAAAATCATATTCCTGATAGCCCTGCAGCTGATGTAGTCTAGGCAAAATCATTGACCAGATCTATTTCTAGAGTTCAAGAGAGAAATGAAGTTTTCACATCCTTCTATGTATATCACAAATTATGCCTAAGAGGGAGCAGTTCTTTTCTGGGCAGACTATCTTTAATTTTCTGAAGTTTTTATGATCTTTGAAAGAAAATCCTGAGAAAATGCAAAACATTATCATCACTTAATCTCTGTAAAATACCCAATGTTAAAAAATGCTGTTAGAATGTTCATTTGTTTTGATTTTTCATTATATCTTTTTAAAGTGCAATGGTGGTATTTTTAATAAGTTGTCTGTGGCTCTGTATATTTTTTTTTAAATACAGTAATTCAAGGCTGTGTGGATGGACATTTAAAAAGTCTTTGCATATTTTAAAGCATCTACCAAGATTAAATTTTCAGAAAAAATATAATCATATGGCAGTCACTTCATTTATAATTTTGTAATTTGCTACTCAAAAAACAGAAAGGAAGGCAAATTCATAGAATCATATATTAGCCCTTGTGTCCAGCCACACAATGGGAAACTTAGGGTGATTCTTTCTGACCACATGTTTATTGTCCTGTTAAGCAATTCAGGTTGTTGTTACTGAATTCTTCCTAGGTAGACTGATTGGTGCTACACATTGTAAGTTTATTCCAGAGGAATAGTCCTCTCTTGCTGCTGTTTGTGCATTTGCTATGTCCCAGGAATCATGGCACAGGAAGCTCCAAATCAGGAGTAAAAAAACAATGGTAAAGGAGTTAGAAGAGAATATAAAAATTTACAGTTTCTGATTTCTTTGGACAGTTCCAAAGGCTGAGGAGTATCTAGCAAAGCAGTACATCGTATTAGCTTTATGTAACCTTTCTTTGTTTCTCCCTCCTGATGTACAATCCAGAGAGATGTGCAAGGATACCTGAAGTTATGATAACCTTGCTAGCATTAAGTTTTCTCAATTTCAGCAGTTTCTATTGCCCTGCATTTTAACAGCTAAAAAGACTAAGCAGAAAAACCTTTTAATGTAGTAACCAGGGAAAGAACACTCTAGTGGCATCTCTGGTTGGTTACACCATTTTGTTACACCTGGGATGAGAAGAAAGCTCAACTTTGTGTTTTCATTAGGCCAACTGACATGAGAATATTGAAAAGCTCTTATCATAGTTTTTCTATCTTTTGCATGCAGATGGGCAGTAATTCCCATGATGTACCCTGCTGCTTCTTTCTTCAATGTCCCTAGCACTGCTTATGTTGCATTGTCTTGTATTAATCTCTTCGTGGGGATCAACAGCAGTGCCGTTACATTCATCCTGGAGTTATTTGAAAATAACCCGGTAAGTAATGTTTTTGTTGACACCTGGTTTTAAAGAGCTGTGCAATGGCTGTCCAAGCATAACCTTCTCTAACAGTAACTGTCTTTCTCTACCTTGCCATTTTTTCTGGCAGTAAATGGGTGGGGAACTTGCTGAGTAACTGCCGGGACAGGTGAGCAGAATAACCCAGAGAAGCAACGCAGGACTATTCATATCTTGGGCTACAGACACAAGGAATGACATTGAATGTTTTTCATCCCTATGAGCAAAATTCTGTATGCTTTCACAGTTGGGGAGAAGGGGACATGACACTTGGTGCTTGCTTCTGCAGCTTGGGTTGTACAGGAAGATGTAGATGGTAGAAAATAATGGAGTCACCACTAAGTATGAAAGACACTTAGTGTGCTAGTTATTGTTCTACTTATGGTAGCATTTTGAGAATTGCCCAAAAATGGTTTAACACCACCAGGAAGGTGACAGAAAGTACAAGAATAGACAGAATACAGCCAGTGCCAAAATGAGTTCTTAGGCTAAGAGATCAGTTTATAAAACACTCTTGGTTTGTATGCACTACTACTACCACCACTTCTACAGTTGCTGATAGTCTGGCCAGTGAGCTTGACACCCTTTCTACATCTGACAGCAATTAAATTAGCTATCGTTAACTGGTAGTACATTTTCAAACACCATGTGCTGATCAAGCATTGTTGTTTGCTGGGAAGGAGAAACACATCTTGGTTAAGTTCATGGTTTCAAGGGCCAACTTTACAATGCTTTCTGTCCCTGGTCTTCCTGCATTCTCAGCCATGCTTCTTGACAGTACAGAGTTCAATCCAGTGCCATTCAGTCTGTGGGACAGCAGGCCAGAATTGTTACCTTTGAGAATATGTCTCCATTGTAGACACTGTGTCTCCAGAGGGAAAATTGCCCTTCTCTGCATTCAGTGTTGGTGCAGCTAGACTGCTACTAGCACTTACACTGTTTTAGGTATCCCCACATTGCACCAAAGTCTACTGTGTAGTTATGCTCAGACACTGGTACTTTTCAATATTGTGGTAGTCATTATTACGGAAATATTCCAGCTATAAATAAAGATGTTACAACAGAAAAATACCATTCTTTTTTGTTGCTCACAGTTGCTATTTATAATAGCTGACACCAGAATTACGTTACCTCTGCTACATAAAGAAATACTTCATTACAAAGATTAATTTCTCCCCCCATTGACAGTTTTGCACAAGCACCTTGCCTGGTGCAGTGTATGCCAGCATTCTGCTGTACTGCATTCTAGGTTGAAGATGTTTTGGGTCTAACTTGATAAATACTCTGTTTTCTCCGTTGTAAGAGCACAGAACATCCAGTTGCTCTGACATGACAAAGAACTTTTCACTCATGTTGCTGTATTTTCTTATAGAAGTCTGATTTCAACTGCTTATTATGTTGTTTCTGTTTCTAATAGTCTTTGTTGAAGTTTAATAAAACATTGAAAAATGTGCTGATTGTCTTCCCACATTTTTGCCTGGGCCGAGGACTCATCGACTTGGCCATGAACCAAGCTGTGACTGAAGTATATGCCAGGTTTGGTAAGTAATGCCAATAAGCAACAAATTATATCAGTGTCACATGTCCTGACCTTGGATGAGATGGTTGGAAGTGTTATCTTGGAAAATTAGTTGCTGTTTCCAAAATTCTCCCCCTTCACATCATCAGGTGGATGAGGAGTATGAAAGTTCAACCTCTCTGAAGAAATCACAGGTTCTGATACAGCTGCGAGAATTCTACAGCCCAACCAGTAGTCTGTATTGGAAATGAACACATTTGTTCAGTGCCAGACTCTGGTGTCTTTTTACCATTTGTTCTGAAGTCCTTAGATCATTACAATAGGATATATTCTTTCATTTCATCTGAGTACTTCAGCGGCCCTCATGTTAATGCTTAAAGTGACTGCTGTTCTTCAAATGCATCCTCTTGGGACATGCCTGTCTTTGATATCAGACAACTTTTTTCTTTTTAAAAGAATAGTCATATAGCAGAACTCATCTGTCTTTACTCAGAAAATGTATGTCTTTCACATAATCCATGCAAATTTCATGTTATGATATCCAAATTAGGGTATATTCAGAGAGCTTGCATTCATTTTTACTTCCATGCAGCAGCTGAACTTGGAATGTACTTTCTTAAGAATCTTTATAAAACACTGGAAAATGAAGACATAAAATAAAGTACAGATTTTCATCCTAAACCATTATGATTATGCATTTTGTTCTGAGGAGCAGTGGGGTTTTTCAGCAGTATTTCACCTTGCTTTCTGGTGCTCTTTCTGCAAAGGTGAGGAGCGTGTTTCCAACCCTTTTCAGTGGGACTTTGTTGGAAAGAACCTATTTGCCATGGCTGTTCAAGGGATTGCATTCTTCATTCTGAATCTCCTTATGCAGCACCGTTTGTTCTCCACAAGATGGTATGTCTGAAAGCTTGTATTAATGTTCCTTTATTAGCAGGGTACATGTTTTTGTCAAGATCTATATCCCTCTTTTTTCTTTTTTCTTTTTCTCTGAATTTTTCAGCTTTTTTTTTCCTGCTTACTTACCTGATTTCATCTTAATTTGTTGATATCCTGGTTCAAGAAAACATTTACAAATGTGCATCATCTTAACAGGATTTAAGAATATATTATTGAAGAAAGGAGTTTTCTTGAATTAAGACTTTAATGTAAATTTTTTTTAGATTAAGACACTGTAGTAGTGAGATTATAAAATGACTTGAAGAGTTTGTAGTGTCATAAGTACTGGCATGAGCTACTAGCCTGACACCCCAAAACAGGAGTGTCCATGCCACAGGACAGTTGCAGCCTGGGCGCTATGCAAACTTCCCCTCTCTGCTTTAAAAATGTGCCTCTATCTCAATGAAAGCAGCTACCTTCCAGGTGTGAGTGGGTCATTCACTCCTGTTTGAGATTGCCAACAAGAGTACTAATTGGTAAAATTACAAAAATATTGTCTTACAGGGAGGTCTACTCAAAAGATCTGTAAAGAGATCTGTAAAGAAAGAGTATCACTAGCTACTGAAGAGCAGTCAAATAGCAAAAGCTGTGGCTGAGGGACAGGTTATGTCCTATCAGTTACTGACAAGGCATGCTCTTTTGAGCAAGCCATTTTGTCTCTTTTTAGTATTTACAGATTAACTTTCAAAGGTCAGCGATCCTCCCAACAGCAGCAATGCTCCAGCCAATGTCACATGTGAAGTCTCAATCCTACTGCTTCCACCAGCCACATTTTTGGCAATTGATTAGCCATTGTTTCATACTGTCATTCTAACTACGCCCAGGGCAACTCATTGTTTCTGCAGTTGATCTCTTGGTTTTTTCCAGGTTTGCTGAGACTGCCATGTCACCTCTTATTGGTGAAGATGAGGATGTTGCAGAAGAAAGAAATAGAATTATGAATGGAGGGAACAAAACGGATATCTTAGAATTAAAAGAACTGACCAAGGTAATATTTTGAGAAAAATGAAACAAATTACTCTAGTGTAAATTTATTCTTTCAGGATGTACTTCAGCTGTGGATTCAGATGGTATCATTTTCAAAATCAACTTTGTGCCTTAGAAAATAACAAATATTTTAGAAGTCAAGGCTATTTCCTTTGATTAGAAATCAAACCACAGGGAAGTCCAGCAAGGACAGTGCAACTCTCCCTGCTTAAGGGTTTATTTTTTTTACCTCACATCATCTGACATGACTGTTATCTATTGAGTGTCCATTTCTACTACTAGTCTTTTCTTCTACAATGCTGTTTTTTCCATAGATGAGTTTCAATCTCAAGTTAACCATTTGGTTGCTGTCACATTGAGGGCTATAGTTATTGCTAATTTATCTTCTTTCCAGACATTGAAGGCATCTGAGTTATGCTATCAGAATGCATGCAAGCTTGAGCTACAGAAATACAAAGATTACACACATTGCTGGGATCTCATGAATAAAGAACTGGAGTATCATTCTTCAGACTATCTTGCTGTATTGTTCCACTTTGGTTTGATATGTCAGAGATACTTTGTCCCACCAAAGCATCAGGTCTGTCTCCTAGTGCTAAAGATATGAAGTAAAAAGCTGCATGCAGAAAAATTGGTATTTTTAGGGGTCATTACAAATTTATTTAGTGTAAATAAATGTCTGACTTTGTGGAATGCTTACTCTTTGGGGTTTTTTTATTTGCTCCTGTCTTGGCTCTAAAGTTGCCTCATCCCAATAGCATTAAACTAAAAAATTCAGATTTTCTTTGCTGTAGATGTCTTGAAATAGGATTTTTCTTTCTTTTTTTTTTTTCCTGTCAATTTAGATTTATGCAGGTAGGCACAAGCCTGCAGTGGACAGACTCTGTGTTGGCATCCGTCCTGGAGAGGTAGGTTGTTCAATAACACTAGATTATATTCCATAGATCAGTTCAGATTTCATGCCTCTGCTGATTTGCAAGTTGGAAATAATAAAGAACGTGATACATTTTGTAATTTAGTGCTTTGGTCTTTTGGGAGTGAATGGTGCTGGCAAAACAACAACATTCAAAATGCTGACTGGAGATACTGATGTGACATCTGGAGATGCTGTAGTGGCTGGTAATAGGTAAGTACCTTAAAAAAACCCAACTGTGACAATCCATTTATTGGGGTAGAACTGCCCAGATCATAGGCTCAATGACCCAGCAGCTTACAGTCTTATGGCACTGAGAGAAACCACAGCTAACACACATGGGCACTTTATACTTTTAACACTCTGTTGTGAAGTCTGTAGGTATGTTATAGTAATGGTAACAGTGGGACAAGGCAATTGGGTCTAATGGCAAGAGCTCACAAACATTAGATAACCAGTCCAACAGGGTACTTTGATCTGAGCTTTCAGTCTTTTCTCTGGCAGTTTCTAGCACCTTTGTTTACACAGTGCTGGCATAATGTCATAAGTTAATATAGCGTGATCTGGTGTTCACTTACCTTAGTTTAGTTCCAGGTTGTGTGTCTTGGTTTGTTAGGTGTAGTTGGGATTTGATTCTTTGTCTATTGATGTGATTTGAACAATAGCTATTTTGTTGCCAGGATGTGGTCCTGGGCAACGTGCTCTAGGTGACCGTACTTGAGCAGGGTGGGTGGACAACATGACCTCCAGAGGCCCCTTCCAACCTCAACCATTCTGTGATTCTATACTTCTCCTACTACTGCTATCAATGAAGTATTAGCCTCGCGTCTTGTCTGTATGTTCCCAGTGACCACACTCTGAAATGAAATTGACTGATTTTTTTCTTCTAGAAATAAACACTATTTGCAAAAAATAAGATCTGAGTGGCTGTTCACAGAACTTTTTGTTAAGTTACCTATACTTAAACAGGAAAATGGGTGAGGGGAAGTGGGCTTACACTCTTAAGCAGGACTGAGCTGAGTTAGATGAGAATATATTCCTTGCTATTCTGTACAGACAGGTATTTTAGTAGGATGTTGTTTCAGGAAGAATTAATTCTCTTCTTACAAGAGTTGTTGCCCCAGAAAAAAAAAAGATTTTATTCAAACTGTCTGTCTCTGTCTCAAAGCTAGTATTACAGAACTAAGATTAATTTCTTTGTTTCGCCAGTATATTGACCCACATTTCTAATGTGCATCAAAACATGGGATACTGCCCTCAGTTTGATGCCATTGACGACCTGCTCACAGGACGAGAACATCTCTACTTATATGCACGCCTGCGAGGCATTCCGGCAGAGGAAATCAAGAGGGTAAAGCATTCTTGTTTTTGACTTATACACAGTTACAGTGAATATTTGTGATGATTAACTGGGTTCATAGCATGCCAAGGGCCAGAATTTCCAAAGTGGGCTTGCCATTCTGTGTGTTGGAGGGAGTGATTCCTGTAATTTGGTCAGTTAAGGACAAGACTGTGCTATCAAATGCAGGTCCTTAGGCATTAATGGTACTTGCAAAACTGTGGCACCAACTGTGGAAGGCTGATGATGCAACTGCTATGACTGAGAACTGCACTAGTTGGTGCTTTGTTCTTGTCTTTAAAGTTGTTTATGAGAAAGAAAACATGAAGAAGATTCCAGAAGAAAATAATTTAGATTCTTGCAGAGACAGGAAGTCTACAGCTGAGTCTGGTTTATGGCTTTCTCTCGGGTAGTTAGAATTCCCCTCATCATCATAAATTTTTTGGACTCCCCTGCTCCAGTTCTAAAATGAATGTGCTAAAACCCAGGGGATTGCCATGTCTCTGCCAGAAGAGGGATGCATCAGCAGTCCCATCTGTTATGCATTAGCTGCTGTGTGAAAAAGACGGTCTTTCTCTTAGGTTGCTGAATGGGGCATCCAGACGCTGGGACTTCCTATGTATGCAGACCACCTGGCTGGTACCTACAGTGGTGGCAACAAGCGCAAGCTCTCCACTGCCATTGCGCTGATAGGCTGCCCACCACTCGTTTTGCTAGTAAGTGTCATGGTAACATAGCTCTGTGATAGTTTAATATAATATATAAAATAATATAACACCTCAAAAAATATGCTAAAGAGGTACAAGGATGTTTATGATGGTCTCTGTGAACTCCTTTCTGCCCTCAACTTACATGTACTTCAATATAATTTTGAGTTCTTTAATTTCAGGGATAGACTGGGATGCATAACTATGTTTCCAATGGACCCAAGGGATTATGAAGGAAAGATAGATCTTCAGTAAAGAATGGTTTGAGATAAAATCTATAATCAGGAAAAATCTGAATTTAAATCCATGTTTGGTTTCAGTCTGCCTTTTCTTGTCAGAGTATAACCACTCCTGTAAAAGGTGATCTTATGACATATACCTTGCTGCTTTACCCAGCGGCACAGAGAAAGATAGCTACCCTTTTGCAGCCTTTAATATCTTTGGAATAAATTATACAAATTTAAACGAAACTACAAATGCTGAAATATAGTTCTTATCAAATAACATAACTTATCAGATAATTGTGTATCTCAAGGGAAATTCTAAATGCAATTACTACAAAAATTCTTTGTTTGGATTATACTGTACCACCTTAATTTATAGGCTAAAAAGAAACATTTTAATAACATCGTTCCTTGTGCCATTTAATATACGTTTACATGTATTCTGCCCATACATAGTAAACAGCCAGATAAAACGTTTTCTCATAATTTCTTAAGACAAAATGTTGAATGAAAATTTTTTCCTCCAAGATTTTAAAAAAAATTTTTGTTGCTAACTGGGTTAACTGATTTATGGAGGACCAGATCCTTAGCTGGTGTAAATCAGGGTGACTTCACTAGCTTCTTGGGTTGACAAATGTGTCCAATATATTTATGTAAGTAAGAAGGTTACTTGGGAAGAACTCACTCTCCTCTTACAAGAGTTGTTGCCCCAGAAAAGGAAGATTTTATTCAGTGTCCATCTCTGTCTTAAAGCTAGTATTACAGATATGATGCTTTTCTTTGTTTCTCCAGTATGTTGACCTACGTCTCTAATGCCCACCAAATCATGGGAGCCAAACTTGACACAATTTGATGTAACTGCTACTGCATGAGCCTCTCTCAATTTATTTCTATTTTGGGTCCTAAATGTTTTTATATAATGGGGTAACACAAATGCTTACATTTTTGATATCTAAGACCCTAGACTGGGGACTGCCTTTGTCGTAATGGTCACTGCATTTCCTTCCCTGCAGCTGTGCCCTACACAGACAGCGTTATATTCTTACCCACAGTGTCTTGTATTTGTTTCCTTACTGCTTTGTGCCAAGAAGTATGCTAGTACCCGTTCACTCATATGCTGTTCAAGGTGCATATGCTTTCTCAAGGCACCAGCTCCAGTAGGGAAGCAGCTATATGCTAAGGCCCAAACACATAATTACTTGATTCTAAATAGATTTGCTTTTTCTTATCTGCTCCTCTGACTCTGATTGTCTTAACATCATTCCCTTACAGGATGAACCAACTACTGGAATGGACCCTCAGTCCCGGCGCCTCCTGTGGGACTCTATTGTCAGCGTGCTCAGAGATGGGCGAGCTGTGGTTCTAACATCACACAGGTAAAAAGAGTTAGAATTCAGAATCCCACAGTAGCTGAAGTTCATCTGCTGGCTTTTACCTCAAATGTGTGTTCTCTGTTTTGAAAGTATGGAAGAATGTGAAGCCCTCTGTACTCGTTTAGCCATCATGGTAAAAGGTACCTTCAAATGCCTGGGCACAATTCAGCAGCTAAAATACAAGTAAGTAAAGTATTTTTATGGTGTTTTTCAATGGGAAGACTTAAGTGTATGTGATATGTGCCATTCTTAATACAGCAATCCAATCTGAAGAGCTGTTGTTTAAAGAGACCCATCTCTAGGTGCAACTCCGAGGTATCCTAGACAGTTTGAGCAGATCTCATTTCAACTCTGTTATGCTACACACCACTTCTGCAGGGCAAATACAGGGCTTCCTACAAAGCTAGATCTTATGCATTATCTTTCAGATACTGTTAATGTTCTCGTAGCTCCAGAAAATGAATTTCCTTCCTGAATAACGAAACCATCTCTTCACCCAATTACCAAATCCACATGTGCTTCCCAGGTTTGGAGATGGCTACATTGTCACTCTGAAAATCAAAGCTCCAAAGTCTGGGCTGCCTCCAGATCCTACTCCTGCTGAGCAATTCATACGCATAAACTTCCCAGGAAGTTTACAGAGAGAGAAACACTACAACATGCTGCAGTATCAGATTTGCTCCTCCTCTCTGGCTAAGATTTTTCGGTTAATAATCTCCAATAAGGAAAACTTGAATATTGAAGAATATTCTGTGTCTCAAACAACTTTAGATCAGGTGAGTAAAAAATAAAGCATCTCTGAGAAAGCCTGTCTGGCAAGAATTAGGCAATGCAATGTGGATGTATTCAAACAACTGAAGGACCAAACTGTTCAGAGTAGAGAATTATCTCACACCTCTTTCTCAGGCAAAATTCCCAGACCTCTCATCAAGGAGGGTGGATCAAATATGAAATCTGTAACTAATTCCCTGTGTAAATAGGTGCCATTTGAGAGGTGGTAAGACAGCATTTTGCAGATGGCAGCGTTCACATAACTCATTCCTTCAGGAGCAGCAGTCTGAGCAAGGTCAGCTATTCAGAATCATAGAATCATAGAATCGTTATGGTTGGAAGAGACCTCAAAGGTCATCAAGTCTAATCTTCTACCCAACGCCACCATGCCCACTAAACCATGTCTTGTAGCGCCACACCTAAATGTTTTTGAACACCTCCAGGGATGGTGAGTCCACCACCTCCCTGGGGAGCCTGTTCCAATGCTTAACGACTCTTACAGTGAAGAAGTTCTTCCTAATATCCAACCTGAACCTCCCCTGGTGCAACTTGAGACTGTTTCCTCTTGTCCTAAATGAGGCTTGGTGAGCTGGGAATAATGTTTTATTTTAAATAAGAGATTTGGACTGCGTTATGTCAGAGCTACTGTGATATCTAGTTAAATGTTTCTATGTCTCTGTCATGCACTTTTATAAAGGAGCAATTAGACACACAAAACCTGACAAGTCCAATGGGACTGTTGGCAACAGTCGCTTGCTAGAGGGTATTAGCCCCATCTGCCTGCTTTCCTAAGTAGCTGAGTGTCCACATATGCAAAGCTGTCCTTGACAGGAATGCTAGAGAGACATTCCTGGCTCCCTTACAGCTTCCTACTAAAATATTCTGTCTCCTCTTTCCCATCACAACCAAACTCACTTATGTTGTGCAAGCCATGCAAACCTTGCTGAACCTATGTCCTGCTTAAGAAGAAATAAGATTTTAGTTGCAAGTAAGTGCATCCAAAGGAAGGAAGTTGTAAGGAAGTTTATCAAAAATAAAGAAGGAATTAATGATCCCTGCTGATACGCAGTGTCTCAGTTTAGTTCATATCTATGGATTCCCCTTTCTGTCTCTTCCCTGCAGAGAGGACAAGAGGATGCAAATGTACAGAGGCATTCCACTAACTCATCTGAGTTGATGACATGGTGACTTTTTCTGCTTTCCTCACACAGGTTTTTGTGAACTTTGCTAAACAGCAGATGGAAGATGAGGAAATTCCTCTGCATCCCCGTGCAGCTGGAGCCAGCCGAGAAGCAAAGGTGTCCCCTGCTTTGCATCAGCAGGCAGTTGCGTAGACTATTCCTACAGTCACTAGCGCTTACAGTGTGCACAGTGCAACGATGTGCCATACCAGAGTAGCACAAGGGTAAAATAAAGGTTCCCACACTCAGTATTACACTGATTTTTTTTGCACCTTTCTGAGCACTGTGCTCACAACAGCAACTGCACTAGCAAAAGCCAACTTCTACTGCTCGACCAGGAACACTACATGCTGAAATTGTCAAAGGAAAGGCAGGTCCTTGCTATAGAACAAAATCTTCCTCTAACATGAAGTTCATTGTAAGATAGAAGAAGAGAAGTCTCATTCCTCCTTGTTGACATATAAAGAGCATTAAGGAGAGTTTCTCTATCTGGTCCTTTCAGGCTGGTAGTTTTTTCTTGTTTAACTCTTAAGTCAACTACTACCAGCCAGCAGACAGGTCCCAAGGCAGAGAGCATTGCCCAGCTTAGAAGTGGATTCCTGCCATCCTGAGTGCACAGGACTACCAAGGTCAGAACATCAGTGCTGGCTGATGGGGCTAGTGCTGGGAGACAGTTTCACTGTGTCACCAGGCTGCCAGTGAAAACAGATGGTTGTCTCAGCAAGAATGGGAAGAATTAATTCAGATCTCAGACCCAGGCAAGAAATTTGCTTTAGAAAAAAAAAAATCTTAATGAAAATTATCTCATAGTCATCTTCAAGTCTCTCAAATAGGAGCAAAATGGAGATTAAAAGGAAAGAGATTATGTCCAAATCCACCAAAAGTTTTGTTTTCTCATGGAGGCTTGGAAAGATATCTTTGTTTCTAAACAAGATCAAATTTTTCTTCTTTCCTGTGACTGGACCTTAAGTGGGTGTAAAGTGTGAATATGGTATGTGCTTTCTCTGTGCTCAGAAGGAAAGTTTCAACCTGATTGTACTCCACACTGCACTCAGTGGGAAATCATTTGACATTTAGCTCTTTTCTCTGGTTCACAGTTAAACTAGTGGAAAATAACAATACTGAAAACAAATTCATACTGATGTATTACTTCAGTTATCTACCAGATCTAACAATTTCTAAGAAATCTTCTCTAAGATATGTCATATGGAAATAAAATCTGGGTCATGTATTTTTTTCTTTTTTAGGTTTTTTCTTCCATTGATGTAGATGTTTTTTTATATATATAATGACATTCTTGCTTTTTACGGTACAAAATATTACAAAACTTCAGCAACCAGCTGTAGTCATCTTCTTTTGCCATAATTATTTCAACTGATTTCAAAATATAGTCTACAATTTATTGCATGTTTCACCCTTACGACTAGTTGCAAAAAATCTTTCTATATATCTATTATAGATAAATTAATCATGAAACAAAACACAATCTACACATTCTCTTCATATTCTAAAATAGCTTCTTTAAAATGTCATTCAGATAGATTGCAATAGTCTTTTTTTTACTAGATTTGCACAAAACCCAACTAAGTCCCACTGAACATCTTGTGAAAAAGAAAACACAGGAAGTTCAAAATGTATCTGATTTTTCTCCCTGGCTCTGAAAATAGGAAGGGAGCTAGCATTCTGAGGACTAGCAGTCACTTCATGTATTTACAAAGTATATTAAAAATTATTCAGAGAATGCTGACATAAAATGCTAGGTAAGAGGTCCTTTAGTATCATAAGGACTTGTTATATGAAAACAGGCCAAATATCACAGATATATCATAGATCAGATCTTCTGAACCTTATTTACTAGTATGCAATTTACTAATGAAGACGACCAAAAAGAAACAAACAAAAAACCCCAACAACACAAATACTACAAATACTCCTTACTTCAGATTCTTTTTGCAAATTAGGGGTTAGACCCAAATCAGGTATTTGAGATATTGCCTATTTCTTTATTCCAGGAACCATTCATATTCTTTGGTAATGTTATTTGTTACAAAGCACCTGCCTCCAGGCAGCACACTCTCTTTCCAAGTCAAAGGCAGCAGATCATGCAACTGTCTTCAGGCCAGCTGGCCATGCTGGCTGAACTGAGCTCTCCAGTAGTTAGCTGGTATGTCCTCCTTCCAATGTACTTATGTCTTGCAGAATGCCACTGCTAAATTTGGAGCTGCTTTTCAGCACAGACTTCTCAGTATCTCTGATCCATCAATCTAAATAGACTAGTACAGGAAAATCTAAGTCAATCAGGTTACAGTGAACTGTAGGGGCTTTTGACTACCAGCGGTGCAATGAAGACTTATTTTTTGAAGGTGCTTCTGAGTTGAGAATTCTTGAATGTAAGGAAGCGTAGCCTTCAAGTGTGTACAATTTCCCTCCACAGTGGAGATTCAACATGCACCAAAATCCTTTAAATTAATTCACTTATTTGGCAGGAGGTTTATGAGCTTTTTCTTCTTGAAGTTCTGTGCAATATCCAAATTAAACCTTTTTTCTTACAATAAAAAGGGAATAATTGGCATTCGAAGACTTGGATAATCCTTGAATTCTCGTAGGTAGGTGCAGTGTTTATCCTTTGCCCAGATTGTCATCTGAATGAAGCAAAGCAAGGTGAACAGCCCCACTGGAAGGAAGGGAGAAAAAGATACATTTCATTATCAGATTAAAAACACACTGTCATTGCTGACATTGCTCAGGATGAAGTACCAAAACATCACTCACCTGGAACACACTGAGTCATGATAGTGAAACTGATCCAGGTCCCCACCTGTTTTGGTCAAGGAAATTTAAAATATTTCTGGTGACAGCATTTGCATTTATGTCTCTATTGATCAAAACCAACCTTGTCCTAGTATAGGTAAATAAAAAAGCCAAGGTCAGCGAGATCAATTTCTAGTGTTAATAACCTTTAGCCAAAAAGGTGAACACTGCCTTATTATCATAAATAAAACCTTTGTGTTTGCTTCCATAGCTATTATCATGACAAAATTTTAAGCCTGACAACATAATGTCCTTTCCATTTCTCTGCCTAATTTGTATTTGTCACACCTCCATCAGTGCTAGGAATGGTAACTTTCTATAGTCTAAGGCCAAATGCTGTTCTCATTAACGTCTGTTAATCTCCACAAGGTAAAACCTGATGCTGTCCTGCTCTGCAAGACTGCATTTTACACTGGGTTGCACTGGTTTTAACTGCTTTTGAACTGAGTCAGGAGTTTGGCTCCTGATTAAGGAATATGAAGCAATAAACTGATTCAAGCTTCTAAAGCAGTCACCATCAACACAGGCGACTGTAGAACTTAAGAAAAAGGGGGAGAAGACCTGGGCCTATTTTCTCTACCACAGCATCTTCTATTCATCTATTTCCCCATTTTCTCTACCACAATATCTTCTATTCATCTGCCCGCTATCTCCTGCGTACTGTGATATTCCAGGGCTCTCTCATATCATAAATCCACCAGATGCCCCCATCCCCTCACTGCAACACACATTCAGTGGCAATCTCCCTGTTCCTGTCTGCAAAATTTGCATGGCTTTAAAGTGTACCTGTCTTGTCTAGCAGCAAACACTGAAGCATAAGCCCAGGGTCTGGGCTGTCTAAGGTTAGCCCCTAAGTACCGCCTCGGGCAGGGTGGGGGGGGGAGAACAGACAAGTTCCTGTCTGCAATCTGATTTCATGGGGTTTAGGGGAGGAGGGGAAATGGATTGAGCTGAACTGTTTCAGAGGTTTCTTCCATGTTTAACATTCCAAAAGAAATGAAAATATATTCAGCAAAACTAAAATCCGAACATCTTGTTTGAAAATACATACCTCATATGTATAGTTAGGGCAAGATACAAAGAAAAACAGCCATGTGAAAGGATTCTTTGTTGGATATGGGATCTTACGGGTTTTGGATCCTATAGATTAGAAAACAAATCACAAAATATTCACAGTCCTAAATATATTGTTTCCTATAAAGACAACCTAACTCTGCCTACTCCTGTGTCTCATCACTGTCAGAGGGACAAGTAGGATGTGGGAAAACAGGATGTCCTCTGGAACCAGAAGGAATAGGATAACTGTGAGGAAATGTTCTGGGCATTAGAAAGTCACCTACATATGCCTTTGATCACAGTCTCTCCAGTAAGAAAAGGCACCTCAAGTTTTAGATTTAGAAGTTAAAGATTTTCTCAGATTGTCACAGAATGGGATTTTAGAATTCATAGTTGATAGCTGTAAGATGTTTGGCTCATGCCCAAGGAACCCCGGCCTGCACAGAGATCTTGTGCCCCCTGTAGAAGCCAGTGAAATTACTTCCCCTTGCTCACCAAAGCCTAACTTATGCTAGCACTGTTTCCTTTGGCACTGCCAGTGTAACTAATAAAACTGCTTCCCCCAACACAACCTGGCCCTAACCAATAAAAGTTACAGTAAGATAAAAAGTGCTGTTTAACAGTCTAGTGTTGGATTCCTTGCGCTGTCTGATCTCCCCTAGAATCCAGTCTTTACAGTGCTGAGCAACCTGTGCTCCCACAGCAGTCAGCTGGCGGGTATCAATGCCCTCCAGGATCAGGTCTTTCATGAGGTAGAGTAACTGTAGAAGCACTGAATGGCTGCACAAAAGTAAAAAATGATAGTGCAATTTTTACCATTTCTCCGGAGGTCACTGAGTGCAACATGAATGGAAAAGTTTCCAGCTTCACACAGCTGCAAGAAAGAGCATGACAGAGTTAAAAATGTGGTTCTCTTAACTGTTCTTCCTTTTGTTATTTCCTGGGGTACTTTAAAAAAAAAGAAAAGAATCTATTATAAACATAATAAATATCCTTAACCAAGATTGCTGTCTGACAGGAAGATGGAATGTCTTTCTCCAAATATGAGTCCATATTACACTCTGTTATATAATTATGTTACTTGCCAGCAAATGTGGACTCTGTGTCCAAAAGAACAAATTTACTACTTATATAATCCCCATGAGATCTAAAGGCACTAAACCAAAGGGGATAAAAGTAAACCCAGGAGACACTTGCTTTATCTTTTGGTTATTCTTATGTCTTTAAAAACACCCCAAAAAATGATTTGGATGGTTTTGGTTTCTCAAAAGTTATTAAAATCCCAAGGAAGATATGGGTGGGACTCTAAGTAAAGTTTTCTTCTCTAGAGTATAACTGATATGAATCATGAAATATAATTGACCCAGCTTCCTCCACTGGTTTTAAATAATGCTTCCCCAATCAATTATGCAGAAAGGGTATTGAAAAGACCCATTTATACAATTATTAACCATCTCCAGTGTCTGCAAAGCATAACTATTAAAGCAAATGACTGGTGGTTAGAGCTCCTGAGTTTTATTCCCAGCTCTGTGCTTTCAGTTATGTAGTCTCTCTATAAAATGGGAATAGATTATGAACTCACAGAATTTTCATGCTAGGAAGCTGCTTTGAGATCCTGCAGTCACTGACGATTAGTTTCTCAAAGCAAGCTGATGTTCTAAACAAGCTACACATACATAGGAAAAACGGGTACATCTGTGTTGGCTACACGAACGTTGCTTCTGCGTGTATGAAAAGTTCCTAGGCACTGTGAGAATGAACAGACAGTGACTTAAGAATTTTGCTTCATAAGGAAAGCTGTAAAAAAATTCTGAAGCCCAGCAAAATGAACCTCTCTTCCTGGAAATTATTAGCAACATAGTTTCTTAGTTGGCCAGTTATCTGAGTTTTATGATCTGTTGTGATTCTTAACACTCAATGAACAGTTCACAAAACCAACTTACTGGCTTTTAAACACAGTATCACAAACTCATAGTTCCAGGATTCTTTTAAAGATTATGAGAGATCATCTCAGCAGATAAAGATCCCAGTCTTGGAATCTATACTGAATCAAAATCTTCCCTTGTGTACCAGATCACACTAAAAATAGACAGATTTATCTGTTCTGCATGCAAGTGTTCAGCTTTAGTAGTATGTCCCAAGTATTCAAGTTCTAAGTATTTGTGTATCCTACTCACTTGTCCACTTACACAGCATAAGAAATAATGCAACATGTTTTAGCATTTTACGAAAAGAGCAACAAACCTACCAGAAACATGATCACAGCAATATTTATCTGTTTTTTCCCATAGGCTATTAAAAAAAAAAAAAGTTTACATGTGATTAGTACTAATATACAGACACATAAGTACTTAAATCATATTGAGGGCTGTTTTGCTACTTACAAGGAGGAGTGTAAAGAGGATGATTGATGTAATAAGCAAGCCAAGCTGCAAATCCCCAGTAATACAGGCAGTTCTGAAAAACAGGGAATTTTTATTTGTTTTAGTACAATCCTCTAGGCCAGTATTCACTGCAAGGACCGCTGATAACAATGAATTGGGCTGATCCTTCAAGTTGCTGATAATACAACAAAAAATTACAATACTAACTGTGTAAGGTGGGAGCAGACAACAGGAAAAAACAGGGAGGAAGTAGTGCTCATAGAGTAAGGTTTCCTCTCAGATATCTTGAGCTGTTAAGTTTATAAGCAGTTTTAGAAAGTATGATCATACTAGTGAAAACAAATTTATCTTCTCTGGCAAGCCATTGGCCAAAGATGAAGTGCCATACAGACTGTATGTTAAAGAGAGACTTGTCTTGCTCACCCCTGAGACTTTGTAAAACCAGATTTAGGCACTGTGCTTTCTTCCTTGCTTATTACTTTGTATTGCCCAATCTCTTGCCTTTCCTCTTCTCCTTCACCCCATCAGTTTTCTTTCTTTCCTATACTTTAACTTTTCCTACCTAAAGTCATCATGCCTGACACTTTCCTCTGCCCTTTCACTGTGATACCATTAGTTTGTCCCTTTTGCTGCTGTCCTTGGCTTTCTGTGATCCAGCTTCCATTCTCTAAACTCTGATACCACAGCTGTCACTAATGGCTGTACTGACTCATTCCTGACCAATCTCAGAGCTGTTCACAGGCTTCATCCATGAAAAAAAAACTATTTACAATGACAGTCTCTACCTCTTGTTTGGTTTTCCTGGCCCTGTCTCTTGTGGTTTTCCTTCTAACACCCATTGCTGCTTCAGTATCTTGGTGACAGGTTATCTTCTCCCTCCTTATATATCTGTAGGTAGGAGGGAGGCCCTTTCTTGGCCCATTCCTCTTCCTCTATGCTCTCATGTCTAGAAGCCATTCTCTTGCAGATAGACTTTAATCCTTGTTGACAGTTCATAAATTTGCCTCTCATCAGTTGAGATATCTTCCTTTATCAAAGCTAGTGCCTCAGTTTTTAATGTTTTAGGGCATGTTTGGTTATCACCTGGACTTCAGCAAGACCAAAAGTGAGCTCTTTATCTTCCTTTCACCACTTCTCCTGTTCTTTTCCTTCCCCTTATCTTTCCTTCCCTCCTGTTTTCACTGTGAAGTAAAACACCGATCCTCTTACTCTTTCTGATGGTTCTTTTTTCCTTGTCTTCCAATAGGTTCACATACCTCAGACATTTCTAGGTCTTTCTGCTTTCTGCTTCACAGATTTCCTTTCCTGCTCACACAGCCAAAATTCTTACCCAAGGCTGTTTTTTTCTGACTGGTTTAACTTTTTTTCTTTGGCTTTGAATTTTGCAGCCTTTTTCCCCTGTATATAGCAGAAATGCATTTCTAGCAACAATACCCCCAAAAGGTGATTACCTCAGCCTCTGCAACCCACACTAGCTGACTGCAGTGTCTGATGGTCCATTTTTCTGAAAATGCTGGTGAGGGGTAAGCCCCTCCATCTGCTGCAAACAGTTATATCAAACATTCTGTTGCATTTCCACTTTCTTTTCAGACTTAACTGAACCATTGAAGTGCCCAGAGACCTCAGACAAAATGGACACCCTTTTGGGTATGCTATAATACAACCATATAGTATGTCCTTGCTCTGACATTATATATTAGTAAATAACTGATGAAAAAAAGCAAATTATTAACTAATAATTACAGATCAGGTGTGGCAAAAGAGCAGAGAAATTCTGTGACAACTTCCCTTTTCCCTAGGAAAAGCAGCAGAGCCAGAAGAATGACTCCGGTGAGGAACATTCTAGTTAGTTAGTGTCCTGTCCATAAACTACTGCTTACTCCCTAACACTAGCTTGTTCCATCATCACCTACAATTTACTAACTGCTGTACAAACTTAGGTGGAAACAGTTTCTTGTCATCTTGGCATCTTATGAAGAGCCGTTCCCTAACTTTGGGGCTTGGCATAGAATGGATCATATGGCAACGGATTTCAGTAAATTAAAATAAAATAAATAAATAATCATGGCTCAGCTCCCAATAATACGTGCTGTAATTAAACTGAACAAGTACTATTCATCCAAAGAACATGATTTACTGCAATGGTATCCCTCAGTTACAAGAAAAGGAGCTTTAAGATGAGTGGAGTCTGCCACTGCTAAGGTCCTTGGCCGTAGCAACTACAAATGTCCAGCTGCCACTAGAAGCCTTATTGCTCACGCAGAAGCCTCCAGTGAGGTTCAGATAGGAACAGCAGAGTACGTAAACTCAGTTGAAGAAAAGAAATTGTTTCTGTGAATCTTTCATATTCCAGGTGAATAATAAAGCTTTACAACAATCTCTTATAAAAAGATTTTGTGGATCAAGTTCAGATATTGCAGGAATCCCATAAATAAATTATTCCTAAGTTTACAAAGTTATGGTTAGGGTTTTTGTCTTTTCTACTCCAACTGATGATCCCTATGATGATCAAAACTATTTCTTAATGCCCTGCCTATGTTTATTCATGACCAGCATGTACGCTTCTGTTCGTCTCGTTATATTGTCTTCTGGTTTAAACGGTATTTCTTTAGGTCTAGTGTTTTCTTTCCTCCAGATGTTTTTATAGAAAGTGACAATATCCCTTCTTTTTACCCATGAAAATGTTCAGTAAGACCAGTCACAAGACTAATCTTTGAGGAATTCCACTGGTACCTCCCTATTATTAAGGGTCTGACAGAACCTCTTCTGGTACAACCACGATCATCTTTCCTTTAGTTAGTTCCTTTATCACCACACAATTTTTGTATTAATCCCTATCTTATTCACCCTGAGCCAGTTGTTTACTAAGTCCAGATAAATCAGGTATTCTACTTTTCCATTGCCTAGAAAAATGTATCTTAGAAGGAATTATACTATGTTAGTATAGCATGAACTGCTTTTGGTGAACCCCTGCTGCATTTTATGGCATCATTTATTCCTATTTTCATTTGGTAAACAAAGGATGAAAATCACAAATCTCATCAATTCTTGTCTCAGATCTCTGCTTACTGAGACTGAAGTGTCTCTTGTTAAAGGTAGCATTCCATTGCGCTTAGGAAACAAGCTATCTGTATCTGCTATGTATGTGATCAAACACTTAAATGAGAAGCTTTGTCTACCATCTGTATGTGAGAGAAAAAAGGGAAGAGGATGTGGTCTTTTTCTCACTGGCACAATTTTGGAGTAACACCACCAAAGTCAATGAAATTATAAAAGCAAATCAAACCCAAGCACTGCTAAGCAGGTAGAAGAAGAACTGTGAGCAACTTTACACATGAAAGCAAGTACCACCAACCCAGAAGGTGGAAAAGTAGAAGTGATCAGAATGACTGGTACAAATGTCAATTTTAGCAACAACAGTTTGTATGGCCTGAAAGGAATGAGTAGCTGTCAGAGATGGCAGTGAGAAAATGAAGATTTATCACACTGTACGGATTCTTTTTCAAGGTAAAGTTGCTCATTTATCTGCTGTTTAGCATGCATTAGCTATCATTGTGTCAAGAATAAGTCCTTAAGATCTGCTAGCCTTTTAACAACCCCTGCACTCTTTTGTTGCAGAAAACACAGTAAATTGCTAGGGATGATTCTTTCTGAGGGCCACTGCTCAACTACAGACCCTCCTTCCGTTTAGAAAGCATGAAGCTATCGCCAGAACTACCAGCGCTGCTGCACAGTCGTAAGGAGTTAGCCACAAGGTACAGCTTCAGCTGCTGGGAGTATCACTGCCATAACGCAAATTCCAAGGGACTGTCTAAATACCAGATGTTAAATACCTCAATGCTGATACTATACGCTTTTCCAGTTGTAGATGATAATCTCCTGTCTTCCTGAGTATAAAGGGTATTTTTGAATACCAGTGTGTACTCTGTTGCCAACATTGGGGTTGGACTAGATGATCCTTAAAGGTCCCTTCCAGCCCAAAGCATTCTATGGTTCTATGATTTATAAAATAACTACAGCCCATGCATAACTACACAGTCCACTTTCGCAGACATCTAGGAAATAGAGGGTCTGCATCTCAACAGCTGCCCTATGCCACAGAAGCAGTGGTAACATTAGGGAGTGCTCCTGCGGGAGCAGAAAAAGCACAACCACCAAGCTGCTTTGACTGGATCAAAGGTAAATTATCAGTTGCTTAACAGCAAAGAGAGTGTTAGGGGCAAAGAAAATGCAAAATGACTGTTAGGAAAAGTAGATTTTTTTTGAAAAAAAGAAACCCTCCCAACATTGTGCCTGCCTGTGCTATCTTAAAAGTTAACACTGTTATTAAAACTTTCACACAAGGAGCTAGCTGAGTGAAAAGGAAGGGTATGCTGAAGGTTTAAAATTCTAAAAGAGCAATGAGACTACTATAACATGAATAACAGTATGGCAACATGTGGGTTATACAATAGCGACATTAAGAAATCTTTTGAAAGAACTACAGCTTTATGGGTGAGATTTGCTGTGCATTACAAAAGCCACACCAAAAAATCTGTGCTGCAGAGGCAGAGCATAGGTTGGCTAGGCTGGATTTGTAAGGGGGCTATGGATAGATTCTGGCACAATTTACCTTCACAATATTCCTCAGTGGCATAGTCCCATGGGAGAACCGATGAACAAATACTGTTTCAATCAACCTTTTGATGTAGTGGAAAGAATGGCAGATACATGCCAAGCTAGAAACAGCAAGACAAAAGCATTTAAGAGTGCTTAAAAAAACAAGTGTGGCAAGACATTTGGAATAAGACTACAATGCTAACAAGAAATACTGCTCAAGCCTGCAAACGGACTTACTTAACTACTGGATGCGGGCTTGATGTAAACCTCTCATCCAGTCCATAGACAAAAGGCATGCGGAAATAAAACAGAAAATAGATGAACAATGGACCTGTATATTCTATCAAAAATACCTGCAAAAAGAGAGAAAATAATTAGACAGCTGAATTAGATGATGGTTTTGCTTTGGTTTCTTTGAGATAACTAATGCAGTGGGATAAACATCTCCACTGACCCAGGATGGCATTTAGAGAGGCAGGGAGGGAATAGCAGGTTTGGGCTTGGGCTATGAAACTGGTAGACGAGCACATAAATGTTTTGCAATGCATTTGCCTCAGTTGCATACAAACAGCCATTGCCAGTGCAGCTACACAGTATGCGTATGAAACAATAATAATGGCAGCCAAGAGATCATGATAAATGTGCATGCATGTTACATCTACGCAGCTCTCGCCCTTCTCTTGCCCTCAAAAACTGTTGCTTTATTTTGGGTTAAAATGAAATTTGCTGAAAAATTTATCTTGAAAAAGAGGAGCTTTGTTTCTAATAAATGAATTTTGCTTAAACTGGAAACACAGCTTGTAAGTGTTCACAGGTGACCCCATCTGTATGAACAGTTAGCACAGCAGATGTCCCGGGAAACAATCAATTCATTCTGTGTTCAAACAATGTTTAATTTAAACACAAAGGGGGAAAAAGAAAAAAAAAAGGAGAAAAAAACCCAGAGGAAACCAAATAAGCTATTTTCTAACTTGATTTCATTTCAGATAGGTGTGCATTTCCTAGGAACATCACCTTAAATTGAAGTTAACTTCGGGCCAAACATTAACAGGTGAATTTTCTACACTTCTGTGAGGAAGGTAGGCACATACTTCATTTATGGAGAAAGAAGGGAAATTGGTTGTATTTCTGTCAAAAAAAACCAAACAACCAAAAAACAACCACTGTTTTCTCATGTGTTCAGAGTTATTTTGACACTCAGAAAAGCTGTGTTATCAACTTCTGTAACAATCAGCATTTTCTCCGGCAAAGGTCAGATTTGACTGTAGATGAGAATTTTGTCTTTTTTATTTGATAATACTGAAGTATTTCTTGGCTTACATTTGAACAAAATAGCTTGCAGGGCAGGGAGAGCAGAATGTAAAGGAAAGATTATGGAATGGCATAAGTCTGGTGTTACTCTGCACTGTGATATTTTGGTATATATTAATGCATGTGTGTCTTGGAGTCTACATTGCCATTAGAAGTTTTTGCCTGTCTTACTGTTTTTCTGGACTGTGTAATAGCTGCGCGATTTATTCAGCATTACATCCAAAGTAAAGATGTGAAGATTCAGTCTTGCAGAACATTTAACTTTTTAAATTTTACCTCCTAGGAATGTTGTCTTTGCTATTTGTCATTAACACAAGATTTTATTAATGTCTCATAGCTAAGAAATGGTAAATGTGCCTTTAAATTACGGGGTACTTTTCCCTTCATGCTGTGCTGTTTCATTAGAACTAGTGTAATATGTGCATCATGGACCCTCTGAAGAACTGGAAGGGTCATTGGTCACCTCACTGCATAAACAGCAGTGCTCTGTTGCCTGCTGAGTGAGTTGTGACAGAATTTGCATTAGAGCTAAGACAGTAAATATGCAAGGTCTTTTGGATGGCTGCCAATATTGCAGAAATTATCAGCTGTCATTAGACTTCGACTAGCATCCTGGGACGCAGCCACGTGCAGACAGCTAACTGATCTTACTTTCGTGCATTTTCATGCTGAAGTCACTTCAATTACTGACATGTGAAGTTGCTCACATGCCTCTTTGCAAGACGAACTGGTAGGAGTATAATCCTGATCTTTGTCAGGAGAGTCACGCAGGCCCTGTGAAGGAGATCCCCAGACTGATTTTGCAGTAGACATCTAAATCCAGTTGAAAACTTGCACTTTAGTTCAGTAGAGCCAACCCACCCTGCGGCAAGTTTTCCACTGTGGCTCTCCCAGGGAGCTAGGCATTCAGAATATCCTGTTACTGCTTTCCCTGATTAAATGAACTGAAGCAATGAGGACTCATTGCCTGCATCCACTCTCAGAGCAGGCACCATGCACAAATATTGGAGGGAAACAAAAAGTGATGTAAGGATTAATTATGGAAAAATAGCCACTAAAATGGCTCAGACTTGAAGCATAGCTCACCGTAGTCCATCCTATCTGTGGCCCTAAATCTTTAAAGTATAAGGTAGCAGTTGTGCCAACAGGGAGGTGCTGCAGGATTTCCTCATCCCTCAGGGACTTTCCTTCTGAGAAGGAAAGAAGTAATTACATCTCAGTGAAATTCAAGTCAACTTTGGTAGCATACTAGCTTTACATTGCACTTTAACCAATCTGTGAGATTCTTTGATGTGAAGTAGGTTTACTGGAATCTCATTAAACATTCTAAGAATGTTTATACTTGATTTTGATTTATCCCTGTAATCACATATAAGCCTGGATCTTCTATTCAGATCAAGACAGAATTCTCAATCCTATGTGCCTGCCTAGTCTAGTAGATTTGCTTCACCACTGCTACAGCAGAATTTGCTGATGGGTCACTGCCCTTTAATATAGTTCACTGACCTCCTAGTCAGCTGCACCTCCATCTCTCTCCTCTCTTTTCCTCTCTTCTCATTGCTCCTTGTCAGACAAACAGAAGCTAGGATAAGATAAGATTGGAAGGCTCTCCTACAGAGGTTTTCATTGCCTCCTTTTTTCCCCAACCAACCAGCTAGGAGGTGATTACACCAGACTTGAGCTACTCTCCAGAAGGCCAGCATTTTCTCATGGCAAGTCTCTCACCATAAGTCCATGGAGGAATCTGACAAGGTAGATCTTTGAAGAAGGAAATAAGATACTCATAAGCCTGTTTTCCATGGACAGATTCTATACAATGAACTAATCTTCACCAGCATACTTTTAAGGGACTGTTTAAATAAAATAATGCTTAATGGAAGCCAAAGAAGAAAGTACATTTTATACTGAATGCTAAAATGAATTAACAGTTTGGCAATTAGACTTTCTTTTGTGCACCCAGGCCATGTACTAAGAGGCTTTTAGTAGCAATCCCTACAACTGCATTAATGAAGTCAGCCAGCTGGCATCAGCTTTGTCAGCAAATCCTACATCCATGGCAATGTTTTGCATTAGCTTACCTCAAAAGAACTGTAATTCCTGCCTGAGAGCAGAGGATTATGTAAATTGATAGCTCCAACTCATAGCCCTTTTTAGTACGCCTAGCAGAGCATCACTGTGGAGATCATTTCACTGCAGCTAAGGGAAATTAGTCTAGATTCTGTGCTGCCTGTCTTGAAACCAAAAGTGCTCAGTAGTTAGAAAGTGGATTGGAAAAATGCACAGACTCGAGTTAATTACCAGGCACCAGGCACACTGGTGGAACTCTGTTCAATACTTTCAAAGAATTAAATTTGTTCTGCATTCTCTTCAGCCTTCATAGTGGTAATGAACATAGCTGGAAACTCATTCTTAAGAGCTAATACCCATGCAATGTACACCTTTTATGCCAGGCCCCTGCTCAATGCTTTGTTACTCTAGTCCTCACAAGTACTTACTTGGATCAAGTTTTATCGACTGCCTTGCTGGATACCACCAAGGATCTGTAAGACCATACAGAATTGTGCAATATACAATGTTTGGTTTAGATCATCCACTATTATAATAAATGCAACACAACAAGATAAGATTTAGTTAAAGATTTTTAGGAATATTTATTCAACATGAATATATGTGAGAAATTGTGCAGTAGAAAAAATGCAAGGATGTATCAGGATAGTATAAAAACACAATAGTGAAATCTCACTGTGATCGCATTCATGTGCAGGTTACTTAGCATTATGTATGTGTACATCACATGTTTCAAATGATGTAATTTTCTCCTATTTATACACTGGATATTCTGATGTGATGTGAACTGCTGCAAAAGTTATACTCACATAATTTATGGAACATCAATCTGATCTCCCTAATTGTGGCATTTGGTTCCACCTAGGCAACAAAAAATATTGCATATGTAATACAGATATTTTGAAGGACAACTGCTAGGTTAAGACTATTCAAGTAGAAATGTGACTCGAACGATGCAGCTGTATAACTTTCTTACAGGTGGCTAGGATTGGTATGGGTGATTCAAACTACTTCTTACAGGAAAAAGGGAGGACAATTTGTGACATCTGTTTCAGAGGCAGCTTCTCTAGCAGTGATCAAGAGTTACTACAACAGCAGTGCCTGGTTGAGGCTTATGAGTAAGACACAACTGGCACTATCTTAGTGAAGCAGCTGAAGTTGTGCTCTTTGCCCAAAAGCTCCTTCTGGAAATGGGCTGAAGTACCCTGTAATCAGTACAAAGTGTGCATAATCATTGCCTCTTCAGTGGCCAAGGAAAGGCTATCAGGAGACCCTTCATAAACACTAAGTTTACCTAAGAAATTTAGTAATTTTTAAATAGTCACCTAGCATTTTAAACAAATTTTTGGTTTACCTTATCTAGGAAGCATAGCTGTTTCTTTGTCTTCCAATCAAGGATTTCCACCTGATGATAGGACACAAAATGATAATTACTAATTATTGGCTAAATAATCTCTAAACTCTTAGTTGATTCCCAAATTCACAACCATTGTTCAGAGCGAGACACCGTTTTTCTCTGATCTGTGGACTGTCTTAGAAACACTTCTGATATGCTCAAGAGACAGTTTTAACCATAGCCAGGTTCTCAAAGCACTCTACTTGCCAAAAAAATCATATTCTTGCCAATTAAATTGTCTTCCTGGATATATTCAGAAGCAGAAGTAGCTAACTTATCGATCAAAACACATTGATGTGGAGTATTTTCTTATGCTAGAGCAAGAGGAACAAATAAGGGATAGAGAAGTTTCACAGGAATCACTAAAGAACAGAATTTTTATGATTTGTAAAACTAGACAGTTTGAGAAAAAAATTAAATATGCATATATATATGCATGTAAGCAAATATTCTGAGTGCATACAGCCTAAAGATTACTGTGCATTGTTCCCAGAATATTTTAATTGTAAAGAGAGTGGAAAACATCAGTGGACACAATGAACAAATGCAGCTAAAGATCTGGACTTCACAAATCTTTAAGAGGTTGTTAGAGGAATATTCAGTGTTACTCCTGCCTCTCAGATCACCTGTATTAGTAACTACATATTAGCATTTTATATTCCAAGCAGTGGTTTAGCTACAGCTCTAAAAAGAAAAGAGCAGTTTATTTCCATGATCAAATGGCACTTTGGCAAAAGGTTATGATTTTAATTAACAGCCAAGCAGAAAAGTCCCCAGACATTTCAAAGCCCAGTTGCAGCAGGCTAGCAAAACCTAAAATACAGTGATGGTGGTTTAATTTCATTTGTTCTTATCAAACACTGTAATGGAGCTCTGTGGTGTAGCTAAGAGTGAAAGTCCAAAGCTTATCTGTCACACTAAATGACTAGGGCTATCGTTACTTAGTACCAAAGGAGTTTGTTGGGTTTTCTTTCAAATAAACATCTAGCATTAATTATGTTTGGTATTAACTGGCCAAGAGCATAGATTAACATTAGACATTAAATATGATTCCTTACTAAAAATAGGAGTCACAGTCCAGTACCTTTCTAATAGGGTTGCTTTGAAGAGATCACTTGGTTAGAGTATCTGATTTCCTTGTTTTATTTGTTCCAAATTGTTCTTTCTCTATTGGTGCAGCAATGGAGCACTTCAGCTCCAGCCAGAAGTCTCCACAAGGGATACTAATGCAGTAACATTTTCTACCTGTGCATTGTAAGCTCTAAGTGGGACATCAGGGGAGGTAAGCACTTTTCCTCCTTTGTGATAAGTAAGGAATGTGTGACAGATTATTGGGGTATTATATGTTTTCCATTTATTTTTTTATATTTGAAATAACACAAATTTCAAGTTTTAATGTCTTTTTGTGGAACATCTCCACAGGAAAGCAAATGAAGTGCATTCCCTTCCTAGAGGGCTGTTCTTTAAATACAGCATTCTGACTCCTGCAGTCCACAGAACAAGTTCTGTGGGGGCTGTAAACCATTTTTTGTCTCTTCTGATGCTGAGTTGCTACAAAGATTATTGAAAACTTTGGTGTATCTCAAAGCTCTTGTGTCAATCAACACCACTGGCTGCCCTACAGACTGCAGGAGCACCCACGGTTTTAGCAGTCTCCTTCCGATTCCATACCCACTCCCAGCATATACATTTTGGATCAGAATCCCCCAGGGGCAGTTTTAGTTTATGGCCTTCAGTGGCTGTATTAGAGAAACCTTCTCCAGGCCCATTACAGGGTGGTTTGGGTATTTTTCTACCACCTATGCTTTTTTAATTGGGTTATTCTCATTATGTACAAGGCCAGACTGAAAATTATAGAGCATTTTCTTTTGCTCTGTGGTTTTCATGGGAGTGGCCGTACAGAAATTTAGTTACTTCTGTGAATCTTTGGAATCAGTGTGGAAAACAAACAAACAAATCATCCAAGATCTTCCATAGTGTTGTTTGGTTCTATTCCAGCATGTCTCTTTGAAGTGCAAAACTGACATACCTGCCTGTACTGGCCTATTTCTTCAAATACCTAAAGGGAGCCTTTAAAGATGATGGATCCAGACTCTTCTTGAAGGCGCACATTGATAATGGTGAGAGGCAATGAACACCAGTTGTAATATGGGAAAATCCAATCAGATACAAGGAAATTTTTTCACCATGAGATTGGTGAAACATTAGAACAAGTTGCCTAGAGAGGATGTGGAATCTCCATCCTTGGAGGTATTTAAAACTGGACTGGAGAAGAACTCAGTGCCATTTGATCTAGTTGTATTTGCTTTGAGCAGGAGTTGGACTACATGACTTCCAGAAGTCCCTTGCAACCTAAATTGTTCAATGTTTTTTGTTTTGGTTTTTTTTTTTTTTTTGGATACCCATTCCTGAACTTTAAACATTTCCATTACTTTCAGTTACTTTCAAGATCTAAGCAAATATCAAACATTCTTTCCCTTTTCAGAAAGACTGATGCAGGAAGACAGCTTTACATTCCATTCCAGTCCATAGAAAGTTGTGCAATGACAGAGTGAAACCAGGTGACTGTTTCCCCTAATTATCACGCATCTTAGCTGTATCAGAACATCCTCCAGTGTTTAGATGTTCCCTGCATAAGGGATAGAAAAGCCTGATCCGAGGCAAGAAATGTTATCTTCTCTGAAAATGGCCAATCACATGAACCCACGTAGCACTGAATGGGGTGTTTCCAGTCTTCAGGCGCAGCACCAAGTCAGTTAATGTAGTGGTTGGCAACAGTTTTTAGATACCCAGCAAACTGTTCTTGGAACACTTACTGATGGGTCCCTTTCAAACATAAATTGTTTGGCTTAGAGAAATTTAATTTCTATGTTTTCAAACCATTTAGCACAATAGGATACTGACTGTTGGCCTGCACTAGTGCAGTATGACTTACAGTCCACTTATTTGGTGAATTTTTAAAGGCATTTTAAATTACAGCTTCTCTAAAACTACTTAAGAACTTAATCAATAGGCAGATTTGTGCAAGATAGCTATGTTAAAACTTTTTTATAAGTGACTACAAATATATACCTTCAAGGTTTAGAAGACAAACTTGTTCTAGTACATAAGGATTAAAGATTGATAGTGTCTTTAAAGACAGAAAAAATTCTTGATTATCATTGCTTAGAACAGGTCAAGGGCAAAGAATAATCAATATACAATATAAGCAGAGAAAAGTAGATTCAACTGTTAAACTCTTGTTCAGAAAATAAAAGGGGAAAATAAAAGGGGGGAAAGTTTATCCATAAGGAAAAACAGCTGAGCAAATAGGGCTTAAAAAAGAAATCTTAAGATGCAGTGTCCCTACAATAGGATTACAAAAATAGAGTCAATCAAATTCTCACAGCTTAAAGCTGTATCAAGTGCTTCAGGATCAACAGATCTTCAAAAATTATGTGATAACTATTATGGAAATACTGACACACTTATCATGTCTGTGCATCTTGGAAGTTTTATTTGCAGCCATTTGTACTCAGCAGATGGAGTAAACTGTAACTGAGAGATTTTGTGAGTACTGACATAGGCATATATTGTATTGATTACTTTTGAAATTACTCAGTTAAAAAAGTGCTTATTTTACAGTTTAGGAACCAACAGCCTGTGAAGGAGTGATACAGAATGAATTCTCCCTGAACTATTAGAGCGTTTACATAAATCATGTTCCTTGAATTTAACACTAAAGAAAAATCCAGTGGTTGCCACAGTCCTAATTAAATCTTCCTAAACATTCTATTTTTCCTATGGAATTAGCAATTTTCTCTGTCTCCTTAGACTTTTCTGGTACACTGTGCTGTTCCTGAAGGAAGTATGCATGCCTTAGTGTGATCTCACACTAGGGCATATCAAGAATAACTTCTTGAAGTCAATAGAGTTAAGCCAAAGGGAAAGTGCTATAAGTGTACTTACACTGAAAACGATGTTTGTGCTACTGCTGCTGCTACAAATGACTTTCAGTCTGAAACTTCCCTTGCACAGGAATGTACAAACTGTTGCAGAGGATGAGTCTAAGGATCCCTCTAGAACAGCATCTTCCTTTCTGATACAGCCAGCAGCAGGTGACTCGGGAAAAGTAATAAAACAGGGCCAGAATATAGTGATAGGGGGGAGGGGAGGAGACAGACACAGAGAATGCGGTTTTCCTGCACCAGAAGTGCTGCCTCTGTATTTAATAGCTTTTCATGGATTTTTCCTCAATTAGTTTATCCACTTGTCTTTTAAACCTGTGTAAACTTTCTGCATGCACAGTGTCCTGAGGCGGAGAGTTCCATAGCCCAGCCACATGCTGTGTGAGGAATTCCCAAAGCAGAACCAAGGCAAATGTTTAACCACAAAGTGAAATTTCATCATCTTACCTGTGGAGTGCTGTACCTTATTCTGAAAGTAGTCCAACTAAGTAAAGCCTTACCTCTCTGAAGCAATTGGCCCATATTTCATGAGACTAGAATCTTATTACATTATTTCACTGTGTATAAAGAGAAGACATACAGTGACACCCATACTCAAAAGGTTTTACACAATTAAATTTTGCTTTTGTAGAATTGTCTAACATTTACAGGTTCACAAGATGTACACTAGGTGCTTATTCCCCAGCTGCCTAAGTTCTGCTCCTATGCGAGCCAACGAGCACCACTGTCTAAACTGTGCTGAAACTCATAGCACATTTTTATTTCTTCCACCTGTTTCAGACTTGTTAGTTAGGCATGCTTGCATCTAAATCCTCAAAGACCTTGATCCAGTAAGCATCTTTATTCCAAGGTCAGCATAATGCACAGCATTTAGATTATTTCTGAATGAAATTAAACTGTCAGTAGAGGAGATTATCTAGTTCTTCATGCTTTATATGTAATGGTTAGACATACAACCAGGAAGTGGGAAAATTGCTTTAGACTGTCTTCTGCCATTCTCCACTCCTCCCACAGATGGCTTGGGCCACCAAGCAAGGAATAAAGGATTCAAAAGAGACCAAAAAGTACACGCAGGAGAGGACAGGAGTATATTCCAGTGAG